ACACACACACACACACACACACACACACACACACACACACGCATGCACATCCCACACAAATGCACGCAGACACACCAGTTCACACTAACATCCCATGACAAACCAGGCTCCCCTTGCCTCTACCAATACTTCCCCTCCATTTACTCCCATCAGGGGTCCTGTTTGTGTATCCGTGTGCGTGCGTGTGTGTGCTTTGCATCTGTTTGTGTGTGTGTGTGCGTTTGTGTGTTGCAGAGCATGCTTTTCTGTTATCCCCAGAAAACAACAGGCAGAGGTAGGATGGTTGAGTGAGGATGTGTGTGCCTGCCTTGTTTATCTAGACTATGCGTATGCATGTTAAGTGTGATCAAGTGTGACGTGTGGGTGTGTTTATGTTTGATTGTTTGGCAGGCGAGCTAACTCTGGAAATTGAGTGTGTGAGCGCAGGCAGGCATGGGGGTTGATGCTAAAAGACTGTTTTGTTGTTTTACCTCCATTCTTTGGGGGAGGATGCAGGGAGCAAAGGATAGATGGAGAGGTAAAAGGAGGCGGGGGATCCAAAGTGAGATGGGGGTGGGTGCGTCAATTAGGTGAGATAAAAGTCGGTTTGACCTTCAGCACTGCTTCCACCCCCGCCGAGTCGCCTCCTGTGCCCCACCTTCCCTTCTTCTCTCCCTCCTTCCTCCTCCCCTCCCTGCAGCGAATCAGTGAGCTTGGATTCCCGCAGCTACTGTCTGAGGAGGCAATAATGATGTTTTGGAACACAAAGGCATTTCACGCTCAGACGAGCGCCTGATTTGGTGTGAAAGAGAGAGCAGGGCTGCCAGCCAAACTGGCTCTCCCTCTCTCTCTGTCTCTCTGACCCTCTTCTCTCCTTCTCTCCTCCCCTCTCTGCTCAGTCGCCTCACTCTCTCACAAGATCTGACAGTGCAAGCAGCAGCTGGGGCTCTCGTCATTCCTCCCTCCTACCCCCTCCACATCCTCAGGGTTTGGGCTGTGATCCCAGCTGTCAGTATTGTTCAGTGTTTGACCTTAGAGGGAGGAGGATGTGTGTAGGGGGGAGAGGCTGTGTTCACCACCTTGTAGAGCGCAGCAGCTTGTTGAGGTGGTGTAAACCCCAGACAGTGGAGAAACTGTCCCATCTGTTGAAGACTTTAATAGGGACAGAAGTCTCTTTTGATTAGGTTACAGAGCATTGTTAAGTTTTAGCTGTTTTTGGCTTGCTTTTATGTTGGGTTTTTGGTGTCAGATACTGATGCTTTAAACATTTATGGTAGTTGTATTATGAAATTTGAGACTCCTCGTTGAACTCAACTTCTCTGTTTTTTAGTTTGTTTGTTTTTGGTTTTAGCCAGGATTGTAATGTACTGCACTACATCACAACTGCTGAATTAAGCCATACCCACATAGGTGTGGTTCTTTTAAACTGCTTTTTATTCATCTGTCTGACCTGTCTGTTACAGGTCCAGCTGTGTATACCACAGACTAAATAAAAATGGACTGGTGCCTCTTTGTAGCAGGTCACTTTTTTAAAAATGTTTTTCCCAACTAACCACCTCTTTCGCCTTCTGTTTTTTTCCCCTTCCCCTCTCTTAAAGCAGCAGCACTTGTCCCATAACCATGGTGGTGCTCCTGTGCCCCTCACTCCTCACCCTGCAGGCCTCCATCCTTCTCAGCTGGGTGGTTCAGCTAGTCTTCTGGCTCTGTCAGGAGCACTCGGAGCTGTTCCTCCTCATCTGGCAGGAAAAGAGAGTGGTGAGAAAAAACCTCACATGTCTGGACAAGACTCTCACCCTGCAGGACCTGAACACCTGAGAGGTAAGGAGACGCACCTTCCAGCACAGAAACACTTCTGATAGAAAGGGGTTGTTTATGTATGAGTTGTGTTGCAATGAAGTCTGTTTGAACTCATTCTTCTTCCCTTATCTGTTTGGTTTTTTTTCTGCTCTGGTAAACCCCCCGTGACCTCAACCACACACATGCTTTTCCAATGACAACAGAGCGAGAGCCCAGCACAGTAAGTACTTCCTCTTTCTGCAGCAATGTTTACTGCTCTGGTGAGCTACTATTGTCTTACTTTTGTTTGAGGGATAGTTTAGGTTTACGGGAAATTTGCTTTGTTCTTCTAGTTAATAGATAGCTGTGAGTAAGTAAACTGCTCCTAAACATGGTCAAATGCAAATTTACACACACATTAATTATACATATTTAATTTATATAATTTCAAGAGATATGCTAATTGCTTGGTTTTTACTAATGCACTTATATAAAAGGTTATTTTTGGCCACTCATACAGTTCTTAGAAGGTGTAGGGCTTAATTGAAAATGCAGTAGCTAAAGGTTGATGTCAAATCCATCCAAATGCTGTAGGACAGAATTTCATAATGCGAGTAGATGTCACCTGTTGCTGTGTGTGTGTGTGTCCCCATTATATGGAAATTGCTTTTATTATGTAACTCCCCCTGAGGGATCAATAAAATTTATGACATGTCATTATGAATAAAAGCACCTTGTAGTTTTTAGTGCTGTTTCACACCCAGGTAGCTTTTACCTTTTTAAGTTGTGCATTTTGACTCTCAGTGTGTGTGTGTGTGTGTGTGTGTGTGTGTGTGTGTGTGTGTGTGTGTGTGTGTGTGTGTGCGCGCGCGCGCGTGTCTGCAGGGGTGGTGGGATTTCTTTGGGTAGGGCTTTGGCCTGCCTGTTTAGTTCTGCCCTAGATCTGCTCTGAACTTAGGTTTCCTTTCTCCTCCAAATGAGCTTTTTAGCATGGTCACACACAGACACACACACATTTTTCATACACACACACTTCTCAACCCTAGCCTGCATTGTTGTGCCTATTTAACACCTCAGTGAGCAGATTACCCCCTTCTCCCCCTCCCACCGCCCCTTATCCCGCGCTTAAAGACTCTCATTGTGTTTAATATCATCACCACTGAGAGGGGAGGGCTTGGGGAAGAGTGGGGGGTGAGGGACCAGCAGTCATGTGACATCGTGTGTGTATGTGTGTATTTCAGAGATGGGAGAGAGAGGCACCATGCTAAAAGCGAACAGAGAGTGAGGGAGGGGGGAAATTGCTTACGTTTTGCGGGTCAGTGCTTCTGTGCTCAGCTCACTAAAACCTTTCAATAAAGAGAGGAGGGGAGGAAAGGAGGTTTAGGGGGGTATGAAGGAAGGGGCCTTTGGCAGAATACAGATTCCCCCCCCCCGAAACTCTTTTCCGTCCCTCGTCTCTTGTCACCCTTTCTTTTCCTCCACACTCTCACACCCTCCCTCCATTCCTCCTTCATTTACCCTTTTCCCCCCTCAAAGCCCAAGCACTCACTCCCTTGCTTGATTTGTGCATGCGCATGTGTTTGTGTATGTTGGATGCACATTTCATTGACAGGTTGAGACTATAATGGACTCAACATGAAGCTTTAATCCATTAACAATAGGATCCATTGGTCAGGAGGCCAGGGGGAGGCAGCTCTGTGTGTATGTGTAGTCTTGGGACGCAGGGACACAGGAGTGTTATGCAAGCAATACACACTCACAGTCTGTTACACACTTGTTCGTACACACAGGCTTTCACAGTCAATTACACACTGTGCACACAAACACACACACTCTCACCCACACTCTCAGTACAGCCAGTGCAGCTTGTCAGAGCCAGGAGAGGGAGCACTGATAGATTTTGAGAGCCACTTAATGTAATCATCAACTTCAGAGGCATGTGTTTGTGTGTGGCTGTGACGGGCTTTGGTCAAGTGAGAAAAGAGGTTGCTGTTTAAGTGTTAGTGCTGCTTAATTCATGCTTCTGTGAACTATTAACCTATTTGCAAGTAGGAGTATGTTTTTCTAACCTGCTCTACATAGCTGAATAGCTCTTGTAATTAGTGGTAGACGGATCAGACACTTTAGTGAGCTCATGCAGGATGCATACACAACTGAGTGAAATCAGAACCGTAAATGGCAAAATTTGTCTTTATCCTCCAAATTGTCCTTTTTCTTTTTCATATTTTTATGAACGGCAGTGTTCTGCCCTTCTCATCCTCCTCGTTGCTTTCATTCGCAGAGTAACTCATTGCTGCCAGAAAGTCTTAGGAATTCAGATAAGCGACGCAACGGACCTGACTTCTCAAATGACACCAAAAAGCGAAAGGTGGATGACAAGGACTCAAGTCACTATGTAAGGAATCTCTCTGGTACCTGTGTCTTTAATGTAACGTGACAAAGGAAAAGGAATGTCTTCATTCATTTGAACATATTTTATTAATTATACAGCCAGTCAATGGACTAATTTGATTATCTAACTGATCCTCTTCCCTAGGATAGTGACGCAGAGAAAAGTGATGACAATTTGGTGGTGGATGTCTCAAATGAGGTCAGTACATTTGAATATATATATTTATATTTGAATATAAATGTTAGTTTTTGTGCTGTCTGGTACATGCTTAAATTACATTACATCAATGGTCCATTTTTAAGATGTGCATCATATTCAGGCGTCTGTGGTCTTCTTCTTTCAAGGATTGTATTAAGTTGAACTCCCAAATAGTTAACAGAATTCTTGTTACTTCACCAGGATCCAGCCTCCCCTCGTGGCACACCTCTTCCTTCTCCTAGAGAAAATGGTTTGGATAAAGCGCGTCTTCTCAAGAAAGACCCCTGTAGTCCAGCCTCTACTGCATCATCAGCCAGCTCCTCCTCCTTAAAGTCTAAAGAGATGGCAATGGTAGGAATGGAAAAGAAAAACTTATTTGTTTTATATAAGTAAACCCAGTAAATGGAGTGATTTATTTATTTATTGTATATTTATAATTATCCCTTGGTGTTTGGCAGCGAGATAAGGCAGGTACACCTGGGCTGAAGTCAAGCACACCCACGCCTAGAGGTGACTCCACCCCCGGGCCCAGCTCCACACCTGGAATCCGACCAAATCTTTCAAAACCCCCCTCAATGGAAATACAACATCCACCTAGTAGGTCATTTAAACTTACTACTTAATAAATTGTTATAAAAATGATGTAGTTTTCTGTTAGAGGCAAATAAAATGACCTCAATACTAAGAGTTTGCTTGCTTCAGGCAGAAGTCTGCTCGTTCAGTCAGTTTCATGGATGATATTTAAAACCTTATCCTAGAGACAGCTTAATATGAAGTGTGACTGCAAGATATCTGGTTAGAAATCTCAGTTTACCTAGGCTTAAGTTGCTTTTACATGATAGCCTAGTCAAGCTTTGGCAGTAATGCCTGGTAAGTGCATGGTGAAAAGACGTAGACTTGCATTCTTAGACATTAACTAATTAATCCTCTTGTGCTTGTTTCCAGCTGCAGGTTTGCGAACTCCCCTGGCTGTACCAGGTCCATATCCAGGTGCATTTGGCATGTTGCCCCACACAGCAGGAATGAACGGGGAGCTAGCTGGTGCAGCTGGAGCTGCAGCCTATGCTGCTGGGCTGCACAACATGTCACCTCAGATGAGTGCTGCAGCGGCAGCTGCAGTGGCCGCATACGGGCGGTCACCAATGGTGAGTAGAAGAACAAGACTAATGTGATAAAATGAGGTGACCTTTTAAATCTGTGTATGTCTATGGATTGCATGCCAAGATAGAACTTTGGCAGAAACTCAGATGCTAGAGTTATGTTAGCCTGGTGTCAGGTTTGCACTTCTGGATTCTTTAGTTTTATGAATTCTCATGCCAGTGAATGTGTGTGAAAAGAACAGAGTGCATTTTTGAGTTCTGCTCCCTTCACATGAAACTTTTCAACTGTGCCTTTCTCTTTGCTATTATACCTGAAGCAGGTGGGCAGCAGTTGTTGTCACCTCTCAGCCATAAAACTCTGTAACCTGCTCCAGGCAGATTTTCATCTCTACCACATTCATTGAACTTACACCCCTCTAAAGAAATAGTCATTATGTTGTAGTTTCCCGTGTCATGCATTGTAACTTAAAAGGGCATTTAAATACTCAAAAGAAAGGAAATTTTATTTTATTTTAAAGAAAGTGACATTAATCAATGTGAATACTTTAAAACAAGAATCAAAACAACAACAAAAAACTACTATTAAATTGTGAATAGTTGCAAAGCTTCATGTCCCTGCTTTCTTTTGGATAGTATTTATACAGATGGCATACCTATGTGCAGTACATTCACCACATTACTCTTTGCTGTATTTGCATAGTGTTCATTACACTGTTTAAATAGCTTTAGTAGTCACACAGCAGTGTCTGAGCAACACTTGATAGCAACTCAGGTTGTGTACTTAGCAGCTGTGTGTGTGTGTTTGTTTGTTGGATGAAGATGGGGTGGGAGGCAGTTACAAATACCTACAGATCTTCCTGTGTGTGTTTGCTGTCTCTTGTAGTTCTCATTTAGAATAAGCAGTTTAATGTGTGCTTGAGAGTATGTGTTAGCTTTGCGCTCATGAGTGTTTATGCTCTTTTTCACAGGTTAGTATTGACCTGTGTGCATTTTGCCAATTCTCATGGGTATTTGTTAGTCCTGGGCTTATAAAATGTCTGTTTTCTGTCCAAAAGGTTGGTTTTGATCCTCATCCTCACATGCGAGTTCCTGGAATGCCTCCTAGTCTGACAGGAATCCCTGGTGGCAAACCGTAAGTATAGTTGTAAAACTAATTAGTCTTATAATTACCATGATGATGGTGACAATGATGATTTCTTTTTCTTGATCCTTTTTCCACTCTGTCATCAGTGCTTATTCATTTCATGTCGCGGCCGACGGACAGATGCAGCCAGTTCCATTTCCTCCAGATGCTTTGGTGGGGCCTGGGATCCCTCGCCATGCCCGTCAGATCAACACACTGAACCACGGAGAGGTGGTGTGTGCCGTTACCATCAGTAACCCCACCCGACATGTGTACACAGGAGGAAAGGGCTGTGTCAAGGTGTGGGACATTAGTCACCCAGGAAACAAGAGTCCTGTGTCCCAGCTAGACTGTCTGGTGAGTGAGGTGTATTGTTATGAGCTGGCTCATGGTTTGCATAAAGTGGATAGCAGTTTACAAACACAGGAGAATTTTTCTATATATACATAGCTTAAGTTAGAATTTAGGGGATAATTTGCAAAGGAATCAGCTGCCACAAGGGCAAGGCGAGTTGTAGCAGCAAATGAATTCTAACAAAACAAGTCTTCCCAGGCCTACCAGTTTGAGACTCTCAAAATTGCACCACCCAAAAGTTAATGTACTTTTGCTGCAAGGCCTGTTGAGGTGCAGAAGTGGAAAATATTTCCTGCCACAATAGGGTTTTGGACTAGCTCAAAAGAGGAGACCACATATAACAATGAGTTTATTTTGCAGAAGTAAAAGGGAAATTAACATGAGCACAAAACAAAGCCAAACATAGAAGCTGTGAGGGGAGACTGGCCAGCTGCCATCAACATGCATAGTGGAGAAAACTGTTCTACAACACTAATTTGTTGTTATTCTGCCTGTCTGTGTTATTCGTGTGGTGACAACAGCTTCCCTTTTACCTGTCCAGACTTGGTTTGACCACTTGGCAGTGTTTTGATGGTGATCAGTCCATATAACAAAAAGTATTGGACTGTTTGGACAGGCCAAATTTGTCGAATCCCCATGAAAAATTAGCTTTACTTACTATACTCCTTCCGGGATAGGACTACAGTAATGGCCTTATAATATATAGTTGAGTATTAGTTTGAGGAACACTTGTTTGTCAGAAATGATCAGACTAGAATTTGTGCTCTAGATTGCAGAATAGTGAATGAAATGTATGTGGTGAATATACAACACAATAAAATGTTGTATATTGTACTAAATATTTACTTTTTTTGTGCCTACCAAATTAGAACCGAGACAACTACATCCGGTCTTGCCGTCTTCTCCCTGATGGTCGGACGCTTATTGTGGGAGGCGAGGCAAGCACGTTGTCAATCTGGGATTTGGCCACGCCTACTCCCAGGATTAAAGCAGAGTTAACATCATCAGCACCAGCATGCTACGCTCTGGCAATTAGCCCTGACTCCAAAGTTTGCTTTTCTTGCTGCAGCGATGGAAACATCGCAGTCTGGGACTTGCACAACCAGACACTCGTTAGGTAAAAGATAACTGTATGCTTTTACTTCTGTCACTCTTCAGAAGATTGCTGCAAATAAATATATGCCTCTGCTAAATGTTAAGGACATCTACAATCACTGCTTGGCTTTTCTAATCTCCTCTAAGCAACAGATTTGACCTTTAATTTGCAGTCTCAGCCCCTGACTGATTTAACCTTTATGATTGTAGCACCAAGAGGCAGACAATCTGTAGTGTTAGTACTACAAAAGTGGCTTCTGATGAGAAATGCTGTAAGCACTCTCCATATGGTAACATGTGATGCATACCAACTGCCCTGCACAGCTCACGGTTGGTGCCTTGTTCCAAAATGTCCGTCTTTATTTAATTGAGAATGTATGTGTGTATCCCACAGGCAGTTCCAGGGCCACACAGATGGAGCCAGCTGTATCGACATCTCCAATGATGGCACCAAGCTGTGGACCGGAGGCTTGGATAACACAGTCCGCTCCTGGGATCTGAGGGAGGGACGGCAGCTGCAGCAGCATGACTTTACATCACAGGTGCACAATCATACAGGCATTTGAACATTATTTCAGTCATTTACTTAAAAAGAAATCCACAAGTTTCAGGTTTTTATTTTAAAGTAGCATCCCCACTAAAACAAAATCTGTGTGTATCAGTTGGTTAAATTTGTAATCCTGACAGGACTTATTAATATTTATTTTCTCTTGTGTTCAGATCTTCTCGCTCGGCTACTGTCCGACAGGAGAATGGCTCGCTGTTGGAATGGAGAGTAGCAACGTTGAGGTCCTTCATGTAACCAAACCGGATAAATACCAGCTTCATCTACATGAGAGCTGTGTGCTCTCCCTGCAGTTTGCCTACTGTGGTAAGCAACTTGCATATTAAATGAGCTGCAAAATAGAGGTGGAAAAAAAAACGTGGGCTTGGAATCCATTGTTAGGTGAAGATACCCCCAGCCCAGTGGTTTCACTGAAGTTATGTCTGTACGTTGTATGTTCCATTCTACAGTGCTTTCATTTTTTATATTGTGCATGCTTGTATTTACTCTTCTACTAGGCAAATGGTTTGTGAGCACAGGAAAGGACAACTTACTGAATGCATGGAGGACACCTTATGGGGCGAGCATATTCCAGGTTGGTGGCAATTGATCAGTACATTCATTGTATTACGTATATATTTACATAAATGACACAAAATGTGCTCCTCGAAAGTTGCTGCATTGGCTTTAATAAATCACCCTGCAAAATCCACTAGCACTGTTTTGCATCCATGCAGTAACTGAGTCAATGCTATGAAACAGTCAGTGCTGTCCAACAAAGGAGGTTGTTTAAAGAGAATTATACAGAAAAACGTGCTTAAACTTTGAATATGAGTACTGAGGTAAAAGCCTCGCAGTCTCATAGTCGCTCCTATATTACTTTCAGTACTTTTCAGTAAATTTTAAAAGCACAACTTTAAAACTTTTAGGCACTGTGTTCCATACAAACACACATGAATTTATTTTCTAGTTTTCTTTTAAAACGTTTCATTACTGACTTCTCTCCCCCCCCCCCCCCCCCCCCCCCCCCATCTCTTTTTTTCCTCAGTCTAAAGAATCATCCTCGGTACTAAGCTGTGACATATCTGTGGATGACAAGTACATTGTTACTGGTTCAGGGGACAAGAAGGCCACTGTTTATGAGGTCATCTACTAAATATATGGAAAGAAAGCTGGGACATTTCTTCTTTTTCCAATATGCTCTGTGTTTCTAGAAACACACCACAGATAAGGTGGACCTTGATGGCACATTCTTTATTCTGTTAGAAACCTTCAGAGAAACACATTAAGGAGACCCATGTTGTATATGCACTGATCTGTTGTGCCTGTGTACATGACTCCAACTCAGCTGGGAATAAACTGGAGCAAGTGGATGATAATGGAAGCACAGGAAATATTCAGATATCTGCTTACTGCTGGGGGCTAACCTGGGATCATTTACACGAATCAGAGAAGGACCAAAGGGGACTCTGAATCGAGCACTTCAGACAACACTGCTGAACATCAGATATTGAAACACACTAAATGTCAGCACAACTGCATTTGGACAACCTCTCAGGCCTGCGGGGTGACTGTGTAAAAAAAAAAAAAAAAAAAAAAACGACAAATGGAAAAGGAAGAATGGACAAGAATTGGCATCATGTTGGAAAGATGGTAGAAAAAGAGGAACAACAGAATGGAGGGACATTTTCAAACAGTGAATGCGGAATATGTTGATTTGTATTTTGGTTCAGAAGACGCTCACAGCCTTTCGTTCCTCTTAGCTATGGCTGTTTGACCTTAAAACCTCAGCTTACTGTTCTGATACGCCTACTCTGTCTGAAAAGTACATTCTCTGTCTTTACCTTAAGTCCTATCCTCACTAACTGCACTGTAGTTGTAGCTTTCCACCTACACGCTGTACTTAACTACTTAAAATGTCCAAATGGTACATTTTTTTTAAAACACGCTGAAGGCTATGATGACTTGTCTCACATTATGCTGCCACGAACATCTGTCATGAGTTTATTTGATCCTCATGTAACATGATAGGGTTTTTTTTTTTTTAAAGATCCATACCAGTTTCAAATGGAAAAAGTGAAGCACTCAGCTATGTGAAGAAAAATTTGCATAACAATCCAGATAAGCTTCAAGAACAGGAAATGGTAATATGTTACAGAATGCTTAACTTGGGTTATTCTGAAAAACCTTCTTTCTGTGATCTTAATTTTAAAAAAAGAAAAGGGGAAAAGGTGAGAGCAAGAGTGAAAACCTGGTGTTTTCAAAAAAGTTGATTAACTAATTGTCAAATTCTATTATTACATAGGTTTCATATATTTTCACACTAAAGTTGTCCTACACAAATGTAAAATCTCCACAATATTGACAGAAATATTTAGATGGAGCTTTATTCTAACAAAAGCAAGGGGCAGGGGCATGGCAATCATAACAATATGGCAGTAATCTATGCCATCAGTGCATGTTGGTGGGTGTTTCCTTAGAGTAACCCCACAGTTAAGTCCCTTTCAGACATTAGATACACAGCATTATTGGCTTCATCATACTGGTAAAGTGCTGTAGGTCCCTTTTTGTTTCTTCCAGGTTGACTACTTTGGGGTAGTGAAGTGAGTATAATGACTTTAAAAAAAATATTTGGGGTTTATGTTCTTTGACTTGTAGGGTGTGGCCGTGGTAAAGTAAACACGAATTCATTCAGACGTGATATATGCAGATGTCCGATTTGAGTTTTGCAATACGTGCAAAAGATTTATTGCACTGGCAGTGTTAACTCTAGTGTGGTTACATTTGGATGTTTAAAACTCCCTGTCAGTCACTGAAAGGTAGGTGTGTGTGTGTGTGAGTGTGTGTGTGTGAGAGAGAGAGAGAGAGAGACACAGCAGTAGTTTTTGTGCATCCGTTAATACAGTGGCATGACAAATAGACTTTGTTCTGTGTTGAAAGTGACACTTCAGTGTTTCCGGCTCCATTCTAGTGTGACAGGCTGCTTCGTGCATTCAGACATGAAGCTGTGTGATTAAAGGAAAGAAATGCATGTCGGAAAGGGCTTTGCTCAATGGATCTGAAGTGATGTCACAGAATCACCATGTCTTTACCGCTGTAAGTCACCCCCACCCTGCCTTTACCAATCTTTGAAACACGTCATGTCTTATTGTATGAATCGATGATTATATTTCCTGGATGGGAACAAATTAAGGCTTAACATGTAATTTAATGTTCTTGTATTTGGAAAATCATAAGTGACTAGGATGGGTAAAAAAACAAAACAAAACTTCTCCTGATTATACCCACTAAATAAATTACTTTTTTTTTTTTTTTTTTTTTTTTTTTTTTTTTTTTGCTATATACTTTCTTTACCTTGTATTTCTGAATTTGGACACTAGGTCAAAGTTTAGCTTTGAAATGAAACATGTGATGTCACTTTTTAAAGAAAAGATTAAATCGTAATTTTTCACCGTCGTCTTAAGGACGAGGGTAGAGAAGGTGCAGTCGCGCTTCAGCTTCAGGAAGGAGTCGGTTAGCTTCAGCTCATTAATTTCACGACCTTGTGCTTAGCTTGTTCTTAAATCTGTTTCTGTTTGTATAAATGTACATATGTTCTTTTTTTCTTACCAGATTTGCTTTAGAAACAAACTTTTTGTACGTCTTTTACATGAAGCAGAAACGTCTAATCGGGAGAAATACTAAGTGATCTTAATGCTAGTGGGTCTAAAATGATTGAAATGTCTAGACAATAAATGTTTCTTTTTTAAAACGTGTGTCTTTTAACTTTGCACTTTGATACAACAACACAAGTTTTTAAAGGAGGAAGATGTAGGGAATTATTGGCTTTTGTGGATGAATCATGAAAATAAAATACACTGTAGTTGAGTGTCATTATGTAACTCTCATACAACACATTGCTTTTCTTAGCTAAAAGCTGCATCCTGTCTGCTCCTATTGGCCATCTTACCACTATAAACTTGCATGAAATGAATAGCTGTGACTTGGCCTACTGCATCTGATCAAGGATAATTATTTTGGGAGTCACATGAAAAACATCCAGTGAAGATTCAGAGTGCGCTGCTTCCCACATAACTGCTGACACGAGATAAAATCTTATGATTTTGTCACCTCTGTTACTTTATAAGCTGAAAGGTCCAACCTGTACAGTCCTAAGTGAAGCTAGCATGCCAGTGCATCTAACAACAACAAAAAAAAGATATTATGAGAACATAGTTTTTTCATAATTTAGAAACTCTTTACTGAACATGGCATATTGCAAGCCTTTTTTTTTGTTTTAACTTTGAAGGCTTTTTACAGATCATAAAAATCATAAAATCAGCACCTCAAATGATCAGAATAGATAATTTCAAGTTTGAGTACGTCCAGAACACAAAGTTCAATAAATGCAACCACAATCATGGGGAACACTGCTGATTTGACAGTTGCTTAGATGATGATTATCGATACTCTTCACAAGGAGGGTACACCACAGAAAGCTGGCTGCTCACAGATTAACTTTATCAAAGCATTTAAATTGAACGTTAACTGGAAACGTGTGACAGGAAAAGTTTCACGAGCAACTGGGATGACTGCAGCTTTGAGAGGGTCGCCAAGAAAAGTCAGCTGAATAACTTGGGAGATGTACTGGTGCTTGCTTTGTCCAAAATACTTCCTCAGGGCCTTACCTTTGCCAAGATTGCAACACTAGTACAACATCTGAATGGTGAGACCTGCCGTTAAGGCAACGCAGTTGTGTAACTGTTTCACTCACTAATGACAGCACTCTGGTATATTACAGTTGGTTATTGCTAAAGGGAGGCGTGACACAGTCTGTCCCGGTTGGGGTTGAACGTTGTTTGAACAGGAAGACACCTAATGAGTATGTTTTGACCATAATTACTGACTGGATTGGGTTTGGGTCTGCTGGTGTGGACAGTTGGAGAATAACCTCATGGGATGTCTTAAATGTAAACATATATAGGTGCTAAATGGAAAACGCACAACATCAGCAAATAAACAGAAGAAGAGCAGTGAGCGAAATGTTTTGGTATTAGACTGCACTGAATGATTAAAAGCAAAAGGGCATAGAAGGTTTTCAGAGTTTTAAATCACCATGAACTGAGAGGGTGCAGACTAAAAAAAAGGCCCTGCTTCAAAATTGACACCTTCAGGCTCCACTGAAATTTGTAGCTGCCTGAAAGTCAGGTGCCTTCTGGGGAATGTTTTTTTTTTTTTTTTTATCTTCAGATCAATAAAAGATGGAGTTATCTGACCTCAATGACAGTAAAGGGGAGGCTTTCAAACCTAAGAACCCTGTATCAAATGTCAAGCATGGTGGTGGTAGCATCATGCTTTGGTCCCAGGGGCACTGGTACATTGCATGTAGATGGAATAATGAAAGACTACCTCCAAATTCTTCAAGTAAACAGCTAAGGTAAATCGATAAAATCAATAGTTTCAATAGCTGAAACTGAAACACAACTGGGTGTTCCAACAGGACGATGGTCTCAACAAACACACATCAAAACCAACCAAACCTTAACCCTACTGAAAATCTGTGGACTATTCTTAAAAGCTGGGTCCGTGCCAGGAAACCAACCAATTTTGTTGATGGCTACCAAAAACATCTGGTGGACGTCCAACTGCATACTGGGATGTTTGACAAAATATAACCACCTACTTTTGCATCCAGCTCTCTTTGAAAAAATCTTTTTAAAATTCTGATGCATGTTGTACAATTAAGAACAGTTCAAAGAAATCATTAAAATCCACAAATCACCATGACATTAACGACCCATGATGAGTGTATGTAAACTTCTGACCACATCTGTACGTGACAGCGTCCTTTTCTCCTGTTGCTTCAGTTGACTGCCTTCGTCTTGCTAACAAGTTGCTGAATTTCACTAAAGTCTAACCTCTTCCTGTGTTACCACTCATTTTGACTAGAAGAAACACCTGACCTCCATCTATGAAGTGTTTTCCTGCTTTCTGTGCATTGCTTTGAGGGTAAATCTCATGGCTAAGAGTAGCATTAAATGGGTAGATGAAGAATGGAGCTGTTGGGTGGCCCACTTAACAATCTGTCCGCAGGAAAAAAAAGTTGTTGTTTTTTAAACATTTTTTGTCTGTATTGTACTGATGTGGACATATAGATAACAGCTGAACAAAGCAGCTGTTCAAATCATCTGTGTGTTAAATAACTAAGTCCAATCCCCTGCTTAATACTAACACCAACAACAAGCAGACTAGCTCGCTGTTTCCCCCGATGTAAACTGTAAATCTGATTAATTACTTTGAATATATAATTCTCCATCCGTTCCTGGCACTTGCATAAACACAAGCACTCTGTCGTACAGTACGAGGTGATTATGTGGCAATTACAGCACTCACAGTGACAAAATGAGAGCTGATCCTTGGAGGAAAAAAATGGAGAAAATGTCACTCCAAGTTTTCAGTCCATCCGGAGATGTCTGAGCTCCGAATCACAGTGTTCTCTTTTGATCATCACCGCTGCTGCCTCTCTCCGATACACAGACGGATTATTCCTCCTAAATCTCCCAAATCCCTAATCCTATTTATCTCAACGCCACACAAAAAAGGTGCTCTCTTCCTGCTGCT